TCTCAAGGATCTTTGCATTCTTTGGGAGGTGTGCTATAGTTCCCTTACCCGAACCACGGTTAGGCCCCTTGCTTGAAGCAATTTTTTAAAAGGCATTACATTTTTCTTCAGTATTCATGTCAAACTCAAGGGCTGATGTAGAACAGCCCACGTCGGAGTCCGACACTCGATCGTCATCTAGAGACAGATCATCCGCATGGGACTGATCCTCAGCCTTCCGATGTTCATGCAGGGCAAGATGGTTGCTGCTTCCGTACCGCTTGCGTTGCGAGGTTCTACCTGCAGCGGGTGCCTTTGTACGCCTGGCGAGGTCCTTGGCTTCTAGATTGACTAGTTCCGTCCGTAGCTCTCGCCAAGTCGTATGATCTTTGAGTCCTAGCCGGGAGACATATTCTTTAGGGGCCACTCCCATAACTACATCCATGCAAGACACGTCAGTCCATCCCAGGTTTGGAGTGGTGAACAAACCAGTCAAGTGTTGCTCCAAAGCCTGCATGGAAGTCCTCCACATTTGGCTCTTGAGGGCCTTAAGCTTCAGCCTTGCCTTGAGCGCAGCGTGCTTATCTTGATATTGCGCGATGAGGAGGTCCTCAAGTGTACGTACAGAAGTTACTTTCAGCCACTCAGTTAGATCAATTCTCTCATAACCTGCTGTAACAGCTTGGAGTTCTATGAAACTCCGTACAACGGGCTCAGTATTTGTGCCCATGATCATGCTTCGGTCTTCTTGCGGTGTTCGCAGTACCTCGAAGTACGAGCACATGGAGCTAATCCAAGAGGTGATGTCCCCCTTCCCCTCGTACTTGGACGACAGAATGGCCGCCCTCTTGTCCACTACGGGACCGCTGTATTGTATGCCAGTAAGAACTACGACGTTTTGGGTTGATGTTCCTGCGTTTGGAACTAGGATCAGTGCAGAACTATCGGCGCTGCCGCTTGAGGAACTGGCACCGGTTCCTGCGCTCATCACAGTTCCACTTGCTCTTGACATGAGGACTGTGTTAGGGTGAGAGATTGGGACTGCAGCCGGTCAAGGATTAGGAGGACGGGGGGCAGACAGTTGGGACTTTTTGAGGCTGATCATCTCCGCCTGCAGCTCTTGGTTCCGCTGCTCTAGAGCTGTCACACGGGACTCTATATCTTCCAGGGTCCACAGTCGAACCAAGACTGCTATGGCAGCAACTAGCTTCTCTTGGAACCGATCATCATTCGATTCTAGAACCGCAAGGAGGGCCATCTGTTCAGCAATACTTGTGGCTCTGGCTGCTGCCTCTGCCTCCCTCTCTCTGTGTATTGCGTCCTCATAAAGTTTATAAAAGAAAGGTTTCTCGTTCTCGGCCGCTGCGTCCAGCATGGCCTTCCATTGCTCGGACGTGATGTCTGCCATGCCGGAGGATAGGGTGTCAGTAGATCTCTCAAGAGGGGTCCGCACTTTGCTCACTTTTGGACGAACACTCCTCTTACCCTTCCTCACACTCTCAAAAAGAACTCCTCTCTCCCTTCTCTCTCTTTCCGCTTTTTGCGCACGTTTCTCAATGCCGGACATAGATAGTTCAGATAAAAGAAAAAAACAGTAAATCACAAAGAGTAGAAGGTAGAACTCCTAGCCGGAGCGGCAATTCATTTGGACTTAGAGAATGAAATTCACGCAGCAGAATAAAGATAAATAATTAAATAAAATTAAAAAAACGAAAGAGAGGACTGATTTATCGAACGGGCCCGATCAGATTAGCTGGAGATCCCCTCTTGTCTAACCTGACAAGGTACATGTACCACAATAAATCAGCCGAAGAAAACTAACTGCAGCAATGGAGATTTCGAGGGGTGCAGACGGTCGCCGAGCCAGACGTGGGGCAGTATGTGCGAACATGCAGTAAGATCAGTCAAGATCCCCTTGAAAGGAATGCCCTTACTAGCCGTATGTCCCCCAAATTCAGCACAGCAAAGAGATGCATTAATGGCAACAGATTTGGGCCCTAAAGGTCCTATCCCGTTGGGCCTGGTCCCACTGAGTCCCGAGGGTCCCAAGTAGGTCGTGGACCAGGACCACCGAGATAGGTGTACCAAGTCAATCCCAAACTGCCTCTACTGTACAGAAAAGAAAAAGACAACTTTCAGCAAGAACTTACCCCTACAACCGTTCAGAAGTGAAAAGACAATGCACCGTAGCAAGATATGTCATTGAGGACAAGATACATCATCCATCCATCCATCAGGTGAGAAAGCAATCCACATGCTCACACACAACCAAAACCGCAGAGAAGAGGAAGAGAGCCCAGCACACCCCAACAGGCCATGAAGCACCAAGCAACCTCCCACGGGCACGACCAGGTCACACGGCACTTACTTGTGAGGCCCGACCTCCAAAGATGGATAATCACCCCCCTCTCTCATAAGTCCTCCTGACCCCTAGCTACCACTACATGAAGTGTCCTAGCATGACTAAGAGGGCCTCCCTACACCCCTGTTACAACGTCGGATCCCTCGTCGATGTCTGAAGACCGAAGTAGCAACTTGCAGCTCTTCGATGCAGATATGGCAGCCTCCGATAAAGTCTCTCTCTTGAGGGGAAGCCCAAAAGTCACTCAATGTCTTCTTGAAGTGCAGATTCCAGGTGCAAGTACCTCTCACTCTCTACTCCCTCTCGCTTACTCCAATCAGCCTCCTTTGTGTCTCGCCACCCCATCCAATCACACAAGCAACCTGGTCAGGTCTGATGTCGACCCTACATGACCTAACCAGGTGGGGGAAGTATCCACATACCTCACTGCCCCTCTTAACCCTAACTTCCCAACCCTAATCCAAGATTAGGTTAGCCCTGACCTAATTCGGAATTAAGTTTAGGGTGACTAACACCTCTCGCCAGCAAGTAAGTCCGCTCCAATACCAATTGTTACGATCCTGGTCATTCCCAAAATGTAAATTCACAATGAAAGACAATGCCACCCAATTGCGAAAGAAATGAAAGCACTTGCAAAGAGATAGAGACCAGAGAAGAGAGAAAGAAGAAGAAGAAGAAGAGGAAGACGAAGAAGAAGTAGATGTACACCAGCAAGAACAATGACAAATCCCCCCTTCTCTCTCCACCTTCCTCCTCCTCCTTCACTTCGCCAATCTTATTCTTCTCCCAATAATAATAATAACAATGAGTGGATGAACCAGAATCAATATCCGAAGTTCCCTCTTACCGCTGACTCAACAACAACAACAACAACAACCACAAGTCCACCATAGCTATGGCTTCCCTCCTTCCTCCTCTCACATGCCTAGGCTATGGCGGACTGCTGAGGGCCCTGCCCTCCTGTCCAAAGGACAACCCAAGGCAGCTATGGTGCTGCACTCCTGTCCAAAGGACAACCCAAAGCAGCTATGCCGCTGCTGACTAAGCTGCCATGCCTGACTCTGCCTTGAGATTCCTTGGTGCGGCACTACCCGAACTGGGGCCTTCCAGATGCAGCACCCAACAAGGTGATGAAGATGGTGTCCACCATAGCCAGGTAGGTGCCTCGCCACTCTCCTCCTTCGCCCCCTTCTTCCTCCTCCTCAGGCTGGGCTGCTCGCCATAGCCAGGCTGAACGCCCAGCTGCCTTTCATCTCCAGGCAGTGCTGTACCAGTCCAGCGCTGTGCTCCAGCAGCATGTCGCCAATCCTTGCATACCGCAAACGAGGAGGAGCTACTTGCTCCTCCGGAAGATATAGCGGCCTAGGCCGAGCGGCCTCCCATCAACCGGTACCTCCTCCCTTTCGGAGGGAAACATCATTGCAGGCTCTGCTATCGTCCGGACAGGCCCTAGACCCGGGCTACTTGGACTGGTACCGGCCTACCTCTATCCTACCGCTACTGGGCCTCTAAAAATGTCAACTTTTTGTCTTCTTCTGCTTGGCCTCCAGTACCCGACACTCCTACCACTACTTGAGTGGTACCGGCCTACCTGCTACCTGAGTGTTTTTCCCCGCTGCTCTAAGTGTCGCGGGCCTACCCCCGCTACTTGAGTGTCTTCCCTGCTGCAACCCTCAAAGTCACAGTCACGGGTAAGTACCAGCCCTGCGGGGCCTTTCAACCGACAAGTACCCTCGCGTGTCACACACACACTCAGCCGACAAGCACTCAGACAGGCATGCAAACCAGCAGGCACGCACACACACACAGACTTGGAAACCACAGCAGAATGAGGGAATCTCAGCAAGGCATTCATTCCAGCGGCAAATCCCAGAAATCAGCAGTGTTCTCAGTCTGTGTTTTTGGTGGGTCATTACAGTATTAGTATTTTTTATTTATTGCGCTGAAGAGGTTGGGGGAGATAAGGAGGTTGAAGGCGATGGCAAGTTGGAGGGGGATTTGGCGTTGGCCTTTGCTGATGTACATCTTCATCGTCTTCCATTCTTTATTCTTCTTCTTCCTTTGTCTATTTCTCTTTCCAAGTTCTTTCATTTCATTTGCAAGTGAACGGCATAGTCTTTCTTTGTGTCACTGCACTTTGGAATAGCCAGGATCATAACATTTCCTTTGTCCTGACTTTCTTTCACTTTGGGATTGTCATTCCTTGAGCATGTGGAGTCTCACACGTGGTGTTGATGGTATGAGCTTCTCGAAGCTCTCGGATCTGGTCCCGGATCTGGTCTCGGTTCTGCTCTCAGATCTGGTCAGTGTAAAACTAAATAAACAATTATACCCAAGGCCCATCAAAGTCTCTGGCGGCCCCTCGACTGCCCCTAGGTCCGAGTGGGTGCCAGCTCAAAGGAAAGTCAAGGCCTCACAGGCCCACTGTGGGGCCTTGGCATGCCACATGGCTCTGCTGTGTATGTGATCATGGTGGAAAGGGACTTACATACCTGTCTACCTACTTACCTACCTACCTAACTCTTGCTGTGTTTGCTCCTTAACAGCCTGCCTGTGCACATTTTCAAATATGGGGGTTTTCAGGACTGCAATTTGGGGGTTTTGGAGGCCTGCATCCTTTCCCTGTTCCCTTATGTGGCATACATGATGGCTGATGCAGGCAGACTATCCAGTATTGTTGCCATTCTGTTCGCCGGGATAACTATGAAACATTACACGTACCCAAACTTGTCAAAAGAGGCGCAATCCATCACCTCATCATACTTTAGCATGCTGGCAAAGCTTGCGGAGACATTTATCTTCATTTACATGGGTGTGGCGGTCTTTTTGGAAACGCAGAGCTGGTCCAGCTACCAGTTTGCACTCTGCAGCATTGCCATCACTCTCTTAGCTCGTGTCTTTAACATATATCCATTGTCGTATATTGTCAATCTCTTCAGAGAAAAGCATCGGAGGATACCAATGAACCATCGGCATGCACTGTGGTTCAGTGGGCTTCGCGGTGCGCTGGCATTTGCACTGGCTCTCGAGTCAGTTTCTGATCTTCCTGATGGACATGGAAGGATTCTAATGACATCAACACTCATCATGGTTCTATTCACAGTGCTTTTTATCGGTGGAGCAACACCCATTATGCTTCAGGTTTTGAAAATAAAATGTGGACAAGAAGCCGAAGAGACGGAAACCAGCCCTGGTGGTGGACCTGGTGGCCATCCCCGGCTGTCAATCACGTTGGGCCATGATGGCCGGTGCAAATCTGCTGTTGAGGACATGTTTGACGATGAAGTTGACACATTCCATAAAAAGCTCATTGAGCGACATAAGGCAAAGATGAGGAAAAGGATCAAGAAACTCAAGGCAGACGCAAGGAAGCTGAGAAAGGATGCAACGTTCACAAGTTTGGACAGGAAATACCTCAAACCTTTCTTTGTCGGTTCCCAACCTCTGTCAGGGAGACATTCAGACTCAGAGATCCCATCCAATCGAGATAGCCCAAATGGTAGGTCAGTTCTCATGATGTTTGACAAGTGAGCTCCTCCTCATTACCCCTCCTGTTTGGTCTTGTCTATTTGAAGTTTGAATTTTCCCCTTTTTTGGGTGCTTGCAATACCTCAGTTCAGAATCTGCATTGACGTGAGCAAGGGGACGTAGTGTTACATCTTCGAGTCACACGGGTCCTACCGGACCCGACTTAGGGCCGGAGGGACACACCAGGGCCTAAAGGCCGACCTTTGAGGGTCACAGGCCCTAAAGGCCTGATTTTGCACTCAGCCCAGCGGGTAGGCCCAAACGACACTTTGTTTGGGCCTGGCG